TTCCCACCCCTGAGACCTAATTACCGGCCCGGCAAAAATAATGATCTGTCGATTGACCCTATCATTATATTTTTTGAGGGCCTACAGGGGCTGGCATTTAGTTACCCGTAAAACGCGTTTTTTCTAGGGAATTCCCTAGGGACATGTCGGGCAAAAATCCCTCCACCCGGGCCCTAATGACACGAATGACATGAATCACAGCCCCGACACGAAAAAATGAAAACAAAGAAAAAACAAATTGGCAGCAAAAAAAATCATTCAGAGGCAATGACCATGTTATATGATGACAACGCCAATTTAATTGAAAAATACAATTATTTATCTGTGTATTGTCAAAATGATGAATTGGAGATTGACTATGGGTAACCTCAAAATATATAAAAAATCAAGTATTTCTGTGATTTTAGAATAAATATTCGATCTCTGTGACAGTTAATACTCACAGGTATATATTGCATGAAGCCAGATTTACAAACAATACTTTTCTATTACTGTCGATGAATGGAGAAGAAAAGCTAATGGAATGAAACAAGATGTTTCTGGTCCAGTTTGACATCACGTTCTATATATAATCATTATATATATGTACTGCAATAATCACGTGATCCACGTGGCCACCGCGAATAGTCAAACAAAATTATCGAAAAAAAAGAATTTTTATCTTATCAAGGAGATGTCTACGACGTCTAGAGATTTTTCTCTACCTACTGAGTGTTAAACGTTTGTCAATTGAGAGTGCATTCAATTGAGACGCAATCTGTTATTATTGCTGCATCAAGAGCACTATTTTAAATATAAATTTAGAAAATAACAAAATGTCTGCTGTAACTGGAGATAGTATAGGCCTTTTTGGACAGGCCATTATTCAAATTGGTGCTGGTGGATCTGCTGGTTTCGTTGAAGTTTGCATAATGCATCCAATGGATCTTGTGAAAACTCGAATGCAATTGCAGGTGAAGTCGAGTGTCAAAAATTCGATGTATTACACAGGTGAGAAGTCAAGCTCATGATGTCGGAATTTTTTGTTATTAAAAAAAATCACTCGTTACAGGAGTTCTAGATTGTATGAAAAAAATGTACACACATGAGGGATTGAGCTCGTTCTGGAAAGGCATTGTTCCACCGATTATCGCAGAAACACCCAAAAGAGCTGTTAAAGTAATAACTATTCTCATGCATGTATCTTGATTTATTGAAAAAATTGAAAAAAATGACAGAAAAAAAATCATTAGCGAGCAAATCCTTAATCTATTACTCGACTCATTCATAAAAAATACAATGATCAATTTGTTTTCTAGTTCTTCACCTTTGAGCAGTACAAAAAATATTTTCTGTGGGGAGCTAGTGCCCCAACGCCTCTGGTAAATCTGAGATTAATTAATATAGATATTTTCAATAACAAGACTGCAGGATTTACATGAATTTTAGACATTCGCCTTAGCTGGATTTTGCGCTGGTGTGACAGAGGCGATATTGGTGAATCCCTTTGAAGTTGTCAAAGTCCAATTACAATCAAATCGTCAAAGGCTGAAGAACACCCCATCTACATTCTCTGTAACGCGGGATATAATAAGAAAAAATGGTTTAGGACTCGATGGTTTGAATAAAGGGTTAACAGCCACTGCCATGAGGAATGGAGTATTCAATTCTTTTTACTTTGGTTTTTATCACTCTGTCAAAGGCTACATACCTCCCAATAAAGATCCTTGGGTCGAATTCTTCTCAAAGGTAATTGTTTTTTTTTCTCCAGCTAATATTTTATGTCACTTCTATGGAAATATTTTCAGGTAGGTTTAGGATTTGTTGCGGGCACGACAGCTTCGTGTCTTAATATACCATTCGATGTGGCGAAGAGTAGAATACAAGGTCCACAAAGTGATATAAAATACAAGGGAACGTTACGAACGATGAAAATTATCTACCAACGAGAGGGGTAAGGGAAAAGTACTTGAGAATTGGAACGGTATTATTTTACAGAATTGATATATTTTCAGGTTTCTTGCCCTGTACAAAGGATTATTACCGAAGGTACTTCGATTGGGTCCTGGTGGAGCCATTATGCTCGTCGTTTATGATTACATGCACGCATTTTTGTCATTTCACATGATTAATTGACTTATGACTTGATATTTCTTACAATGAAACAATGGAATCCTTTCTGACACCAAAAAATTAATGAAAATTACTCAATGATTTTTAAATATATCAATCATCCAGTACAGAATCCAGCCATTTCTCCAAGTCAATGGACTTTGTTGGTTTTACGTCTCTCCTCCCTTTCACATCTGTATCATAAATTAATAATAAAATTTCGCAGGTGAAAAATTAAATATTGTCCAATGGATTTTACCTTCTGCAACTCGTGATGTGCCAGATGAAATATTTACAGGTAACACTCGCACTGGTTCTTTTAGCGATAATAAAAAATCAAGATCTTCCTCGATATTTTCCACGGCATCAATGTCCTGTTCAGATTGAATGGTCTTATGGTTAAGGGCCTTATCTGGGTCTGTCGACTGTTCAGAAACAAGGGACGACTCTAGTTCCTTAATGTAATCTTTTCTGGACAGCTCAGCAGATGAATTTATCAAGGTCAACTCGTCCTTCTGCAAATATAGAGTATATCAGTACTACCAGTAATTCTATGTTTTTCCTACAACAAGAATATTTCTAATGAAAAATTTTAATTTCCTTGCGGATTGAGTGCAATAGTTACATTAAAGTATTTTTCCTCGACGCTGACGTATTCGTTGAAGGGAATACATTTGAATATTTTCGATAAATGATTGACGTCAACTGAAAAATAATCACTAAACTGAGATGCGTCCCATGTCCACTTGGTTTCACTTTTGAATACGAAGGTCGAGGTGGAAACTGGTGCGTTCAAGAGTTCTTCAAAGGATTTACTGCTTTTAGGCTCGTCGTCATCGCTTATTTCAGCAAAACGACGGTCCAATTGAAATAATATCTGTTGTGAGGATTTGTCATGGCTATGAGAATCGTTGGAATTCGAACCTTTTTTCGATTTATGATAAATTTTTTTATGCTGACTTCGTTTAAATCTGCTTCTGTTTCTGGAAATGAAAGGAGTTGAATGAAAAATAAAGAATAGCGCAAGATGATGAGTTGGGATAATTAGACTTACGATTGTTTAGTTGATGCTATTGAATCCATCGTTTTTCTTTTCAATAAAAAGGACTTGACAAACTAACCTATATCCTGTAGCACTCAATTTATCCTATTATTCTCTATCTTATCTTAATTGTATTTTCTAAAGCTAGTGAATCGTAAATTGAGATTTTTTTATTAAACAAGAATTTATTAACACTAAAATTTGAAAGAAATTTGTGGGTTTGAGGTTAATTCAATGTCCATGTTTGAAGACTTTTTTTTGGGTTCAATGTTTTTTTTACGAATGCTGTCAAGACTGATTATCGTCGATAAAATCTCAGAGGTGTCACGGTGGCGAAATTGGCTAACGCGCCCAGGTGAATTTGCTCAAGTACCTTAAAAATTTATTCATAGTTGCAGTAGGGCAACAGAAGTAGGAGTAAGGGGCAAAAAGACTACAAAAAGGACAAAGATATAAAAATCTATCTATCTATCAAAAACTGGGAGTTCTTGGTTCAAATCCAAGTCGTGACACCGTTTTCTTTTTGATATCTATTGAGAGCACTTGTAATAATATCAGAATTGAAGTTCCCAGTTCAAATCCTCGATTACATGATATTTTTATTTTTTTTCTGTCTTTCGATATATTTTTCATTACCCCATCACTCGTTCTAATGAAAAATTTGATTTGACCAGAAACTAAAAAAAAATATTCTGAATAGTTTTCTATAAAATCAAAATTACTTATTTTTTTAAATTTTCATTCAGCTGTGTTGGAAACAAATGGAGAGGGGAGAATCACGTGACACAACGAAACAACGTGCAAGCGAAGAGAAACATTTGCAGTGTTACCACTTCTAATTCTCTGTACTTATTATATTATTTTTGATAATCTCGGAGTAATCGAACGATTTATTGAAGAATTCTTGGAAAATGGAGTCGTCCAGCAAAGCTGAGTCCACAGCCCCCAAACAGGCAATGGTTTACATCTGTGGAGGTGATTTTTTAATTCTATAAACTTTGAGGTTATCCTCCAAAACATATCAACTCTTTGGAAGAATTGCTGAATTTTTCATGATTGTTTCTTCACTGGGATTTTGTTTCTTTTTCTTCAGAGTGCCACCACGACAACGAAATTCGTCCCAGAGATCCCATCCGTTGCAGAGAGTGCGGTTACAGGATCATGTACAAAAAACGCACAAAGCGTCGTATCCTTTTCACACCCAAAATAATATCATGATTTTTTGAACACTGGATTACTTACAACCTTTAATTTGAAGTTTTCCGGTCGAATGTTTCCACAGGATTTTTCTACTCCATATTTTTCCTTAATGAATTGTTCTAGTGGTTGTTTTCGATGCTCGTTAAGGTCTAGATCATCTCCATCGACTCCTGGTCTAACGATTCACTAAACCAAGAATAATGTAAGGATTACGAGATAAGTTGTAAAATATTTGCCTTTTTAATAAAAATAATCTAAAGAATAATTTTTTTCTTCCACTCGCGTTAAATCAGTAAATGATGAATTCATGAATTTTATTAATGGCGCAAATTAATTTTTGTTTTTAAAGTTAAAGTTGAATAATTCCAAAACTCTGGGTATTTATTGAGAGGGACACTCAGGAGAATGCGTATTTAATTCATTAGGCAATGTATCTTTTATTTACAATAAATAAATTACATTCTCGTTAGTAATGTAACAGAGTTGGTTTCTTTCATTTTTTTCATTACGATGAGGAAGAAATAATTAACAACAGCACTCATGAGCCACTGGGCCATAAATTCATTTACAATCATTTACGATTAGATTATTCCCCCCGCTTGAGTATACAATAAGTTTTATAAAATTGTTTTAAACTCCGGTCCCATCTCTGATATCAATCTGGCAAAAGCCAAACTTTGGTTCCAATGAAATTGATAATTTAGGATTTGTCACTCTATCAATGAATCTAGGTGAAATGAAAAGTATTTGATACTTTTCATACTTATTTTACAATTGATTGAGTAAAGTTTTTATATAAAATCTTAAAGATCTATGATCTTTACACGATTACGATACAAAAAACTACGGTTCAGTGGTCTCACGTATTGCTGATGTATTACCCAATATTCGGAAATATTGTTCTGGCTGATGATTGATACAAAATTTAAATAATATCCATAAAAAATAGTTGTATCGAGGGCTCTCCGAGACTCCATTGACAAATTAATGAAGTTATCTCGAGAACATGAGACGCAAACTCAAAAGAAAAACACCGAAATACAAATTTTCTTTTTTTAATATTCAGTTGAGAGTTACTAATACTGACTCTGGAAGCAGCCAAGCCAACGTTTTGCCTGCGATAAATCATGAATTATCATCCAATGTTCTTCAAAAAATATTCGTAATCATTCTAAAATCAATAAATTCTCATCTATAAATCATTACCATCACTTGATATGTTAATTAGCACATTTTAAATCGCAATAGCCCTTTTAAAATAGAAGTAATGCTCTGTTGATGTTACATTTCACCATTGGCTTGGCACTGTTGGACACATGCACACGTACACATCTTGGAAGCTCTTACAATAATTTGTGATTTGGGTTTTTTCATAATTCAGGAATGAACTGGCAAGAGACGTGACGAATGCGCCCTATTCTCCCACCACTTCACACCGCAATCATCATCTCACGGATATTACACCAAAAAATCTACATTCTCAGATTCCCTCAATTCATCTAAGCTACACTGATATCGTTTTGGCAACAGATTTATGTTATTTCCACTCAATCATTCCCTCGTTGTACAGTTGTCGTGATAAATTATTAAACACCTGTATCACCCACTCAAGCACATTAACAGTTAGGTACGAGATTTACATGATTATCTGACGTGTGATGATTATGCTAAGGAAAGACGTAGTCTGTGCTTGAGCACTTGGCTAAAAATTTCCCATTCATTATTCCCAACTTTTTACCTCTCAGACGAACGTTTTACGTTGTTCAACGATAATTATCCTCCAGCTCAGAGGACTACAGTTATTATTCAATTGAAGATGCCTGAATTGCTCATAATTTTTATCTCACTCAACCACTAGTCTATCTTACAATGTTTCTCGCCTTAATCAACTAATAATTTACATAAATTTATACAGACTTACTCATCACCCAAACAATTACTCAATCCTCGGAATATCATACAAATATATGTATATATTCATCTATAGGATATATTTATAAATTTCTATTCACTGAAAAATCGAGTGTTCAATATTCAGTTTGTTGCACAGTTATTAATCTTTTTTGTTTTTGCACTTTGAAGTCAATCACATGCCAGTCAGAGTAATTGCACCTTAAGTCGTCTAAATTCATTTATTCAGGGATTTTTCATTTCAGTTGATTAAAAATTAAATTTCGTATATAAATATTTCTTGTTTTGTTTATCAACTAAAATTTCATCACGATGATTCGATCATGTATAATATAATATGTATATATTTTCTTTGATGGAAAATCACGAGTGCTGGGAAGAGATAATGTTTCTCACATATTTTCGATGAAATGTTCTGATTCGATACTGAAGTGGTGAGACAGAATCGATAACATCTTGAAATCTGAGGGAGATAGTGAGAAATGTATGAAAAATCCCTAGTAGGAAATGCTCTCAACTAAAAGAAAACTCCGCTAAAATCTCTCCACCTTTCACAGATCCCGAGATATTGGCGAAAAATTAATACAGAACCAGAAGTAATCCCTTTCATTTCGATAGAAAAAAAAATAGCTTCGATTAATTCTCAAATAACAACGGAAGTAATAAACCCAGAGTAATCTGTTATCAGACTTTTTTGTAGTGCATTAAATTTCCTACAAAAAGTTTTCACCATAAAATTGTCAATCCCCTACCGATTTGGACATATTTCTTAAAAAATAAACAACAAAAATGATCATGTAGCTTGAATAATCCCAAAAATCCTGAAAAATGATTTTAAAAAACCTGAAGCAGTTTCATACTGCACAAGACGAGTCCTGAACTCGTCCTCACTGGGATTAACTCAATGAAGAAATGGGAATAAAATCGATGGATGAGAAATAATAATCTCAATTCCCTCGATTTACAAAACAAACATTGTGTATGGCCGCTCGAGAGCGTAATTTTGGCACTATGTATCATCATTTTTCTGTCTCGATTGGTCCTCACGCGCTAAAACAATCTCATCACTAATTCTCGTCTGTGTATTCTCCTTTCCACGATCACCATGCTCTACATAACAGTGCACTTGCAATTCATTGACTGTTCTCAATGATCTTGGACATATTTGGCACTTGTAGGGCAATGAATTATCGTCGAACCGTGTGTTTGGCACATGTAAATCACCAATTTGCTTTGTATCATTTGTATTAACTAATGTTGACATATGATATGCACGTGATGCCTCGATATCTGAGGGGGGTGGGGGGTACTGGTGAATTACTGGAGGTAAAATGGGTTCACCCTCGTCTGAGGATGTTTCACCACCGCTTGCTATGTTTGGGGGACCCATCTCGGGGTCCCATTGGCCCATTTTGCTTGGATCCTTCTCGTACAGTTTATAGGCGAGTATCTGGAATCAATTTAATGCCAATCAATTAATTAAAGAATTGAGTTTTATCTTCCGTTTTTTTTTAATTTTATTCATCAATCGTAAAACAATCAATTTTCTGTCAATTTTTTTTTTCAATCTAGATATTAAAAAAATTTTATTTTGAACGAGAATAAAAAGGAATTACCTGTAGACTAGAGAGACTATTATCACAATCGGTAGTATCAATATCATTGAGATTAACCCCAGATCTCTCCATCTCCGCATAAGTTCCAAAGGGTAATTTTCCAATGCACTCGAGCTTCATAATGTGCATTTTACTCCTGAGATGTTTGGCCAAGTGTCCGTGAATCCTGAACGCAATTTTACAGTCCTCACACTTAAATGGCCGGGGATTGCTCGTTGTGGCTGCTCCAAATGTTGACGTCATGCTGACTTTATTGTGATGAGACACTGATCTTTCATGCTTTGTTAAGTGGCCCTTAGTGCGAAATGATACTGCACAGCTCTCACACCTGAATCTCCTCTCAAAGTAATGAATGTTTATGTGGAGACGTAAATGGCTTGGTTTGTTGAAGACTTTGTTGCAGAAACCGCAAACACTTCGACCTTCCTCATTAACACTATAATAAAAGGCAATAAATCATTATTACTATTGATTGAAAAAGACTGTTGAAATGGTAATGACGTTGACATTTCAATTCGTAAATTTTTCACGTAATCTTTCAGCCGCTGTTTCATGATTGATATTACTTTCCGTGATATTTAAACTCACCTGCTATAATTAGAGCCATGTCCACTAACAGGCTGTAGAAACTCGGCCTGTGGTTTCCCAGTGCTTGGCGATGGCGACCTGAACCCAGGTCCTCCCACCACTACCTTCCTGGCAACAGGATGTTTCATCCCCTCCCCAATGCCCTTAGCAAATTCACTGATATTCACGGTGTGCTCACTTCTGCCATCTCCCCTGGTACCCCCAGCAATTTCCAGAAGTTTATTCCCCTCCAGTCCCTGCACCTCGAACCCCTGCACCCTGTGCTCCTTGTACCCCTCTCTCCCCGGTGATCTCTCAATCCCCTCCCTGAACTCTGCACCCCTCACCTCACCCACCGGCACCTTAAACTCCTGACTAGGTCTCTCAAATCTCCCCCTCTCCTGACCCACAACAAACTCGTTCTTCGTACCCCCCTCCCTGCCCTCTCTACCCTCCTGAAACACCTGCCTCTCACCCCCCTTGATCACCTGCCCGGTCATCTGATCACTCCTCATCCTGACGTCCTGGCTCTCCCTCTCCGGTGAAACAAGCCTCAAAGACTCGATATCAAACGGCCTCCTCTCATGCCTCCCCTCCACTTTCACCTCTTCCCTCTCAACAACACCCTGCATCCTACTGGGATCAGTATAAGTAACTGTAGGAGTACTACTGGAGTACGATCCCCTAGAGCTAGTGAACTCCTTGGAGTAAACCACTTGCTTGTCATTCTTGCAAGTTCCCACTCTGTACTGCAGCTTCATCTTGCTATCCATGACGTGTCTCTCGGTCAAATAAGCCTGGAGCATGTGCCCCTCATCGGGTTTCCACTCTCTACCCTGAAGGGGCAACCTCTCCATAGTGTGAACGATCGCTTGCATGAGTACAGGTCCAGAAACAGGTGTGAGGATGTCCACCGGTCTCCTTCCCTCCGCTGTCTGTGACGTTTTGGTCGTTAGATCCATGGGCTGATGTCTCGACACGACCTCCTCCATCTCCACGTCAGAGTCCTCCACCTTGGACGACCTGATAACACTGTCCCTGGTCTCCTCTGGGACTGGACCCCGAGTTGAGGGGAAATAGTACCTGTTAGATACCTCTGACTGAATGACTGTCGTCGATGTGACAGTAACAGAGGAAACAGAGGAAACGGAGGAAACAGAAGAGACAGAGGCTGTCGTCGAGACGAGTGACGTTGTCACGGATGTGGTGGGGAAAGTGAGGGCATACGGATAGGTGGTTGGTCTGCCAGCAGGTAGAAGACCGGGAAGTCTCTTTGAGCTCGTCTGCGAGAGGCTCAAAAGACTCTGCGCTGCCTCATGCTCCTCACTTCCGGACTCATCGCTTTCATCCCCATCGGACTCCTCGTCTTCGTCCGTTGACTCCTCATTAGCACCACCAGCCACAAGCCTGGCAATTGCCTCCTTATCAATATTCTCGTCACAGACAGACGTGGGAACAGGTGTCACCCCCATTTCCACGCACTTCTTGTAGTGAGCCTTCGACTTCATGTGCTTCGTCAAATTTCCTTTAGTCTTGAAGCTGAAGGAACAGTGCTTGCAGGTGTAAGGTCTCACATCCGTGTGTGTTCTGATATGTTTCTTCAGCATTGAAGGTTTTTTGCACCGGATGCCGCACTCCTCGCATACGTATCGACCCCGGCCCCGTCCCCTCACGTAAGTGTAATCCTCGTTTGACTCAAAACCACCATCGAAGATCTTCACTCTTCGGGTCTTCTCCTGTGTATCACTTTCCAAACCGCTGTCGGGGCTCGTTGGAGTGTTCGGTCGTTGTGACGAGTGCGTCATTATGTCCTCCTGTTTCTTCCAGGCAACTGTGTAACTCGCTGGTCTGTGTCTGGAGTCATAATGAGCCATGTCCATATCCGGTGGTGTCTCTTTGCAGATCTTCCAGTTGGAGTACATCGACAATCCATGCTGTTGACTCACGTACATCGGCTGGGGCCTATTGAGAGTGCAGTAGAAGACTCTTGTCGAACACTTGAGCCCCAGATAGGTATAGGCGTGACCGTTCAGGTACAGTTGACCGTACGATTTCTTCGGTCTTGGTGTTTCTGGGCTTATCAATGGAAGTGTATTGGCTGTGGGTGTGATACCATGGTGACGCTTTGGCGTGAAGGTACCGGGTTTCAAAGGAAGTGAGGTTGGACGAAGGAATTTTGGATTTGGTTCGTCATCCGGCGATGGTTCTTTCAAATCCGAAGCTGATGGCAGTGCTTCGGGGGAACTCTCAGGCATCGGGGGATCAATATTCATTATTATGACTGGTGGACCACTGTCAGGCCTCATTCTGGCGCCATTGGCAACGTACGGCTCTGGAGAAGCTTGCTTGATCACACCGTTCTCCTGGGGTGGAGGTGAGTCGTATTTGATCGATATATCCCTCGGTGGAGATCTTGTGGGAAACGAGTTAACAGGATCGAGCCCATTCGAGTAAATCACTCTCTCAACAGATTGAACCTTCTCACTGTTGTCAACCAAGATCTTGTATTTGCCCACATTCTTGGGATGCCTTTCAGGCTCACTCTTGGGTAATTCACCAGTGGGAGTCGATGCCAAACGGCTCTTGTACTTCTCCTCGAGTTTGGCAGGTACTTTAGGACTGACAACACCATTGTTTGGATTTTTGAAGCCAGGCTTCGAATCCTTGGCTGGACTGGCGAGATCCAGGGGCTGGCCAATGCTCATCTGGGCATTAGACGTTGGCCCGGGTATGCCAGGTACACTTGGTGTCTGTCCCCGCACTGGACTCGCCAGATCCAGTGGTTGTGGAATCATGTGGAGACCTGGAATGCCTGGAATGACTTTGTAGCCAGTGGTGCCACTGGTCACTGGTGATATGTCTACTGTCGTTGACAGTGTATGCGGTCCAGGCATACCAGGAACATAAGGTATCACCTTGCCACCGTGAAGAATACTAGCTATACCTGCTTGCGGCAAGGTCAGAGGATTGTAGGCAGTGATACTTGTCAGTGGATTCAAGTGTGGCTCTAGGTAACTGTAGCATGACATTTTTGGGGCTAGATTGGGTGTTGATATGTTTGGTATGATTGGTGCCAACATCTTTGGTGTGTTTGGCAGAGATATTGAGGTACTTGGGGTTGTCGAGGGTGTGCCTGGTGGTTTGTGCATCATTGTACCACCCGAGTGAAGACCTGATCGCACCACTATCGATGATGTTTCAGTTGTCACGCACTTATTATTAACATTATGATCGTTTGGGGGTGAATTTGTCTGTCTTGGTTCAATTCTCATGGTTTTCGTCTCACCTGTATTATCAAGAATTCTCACCTCACCGCCGAACATCTGCAGGGAGTTTGGTCTTGGATACTTGGACAGCTCCTCCAATGATCGGAGTGTCGTGGGTACATTCTCTGTTCGTTTCTTCGGTGGTGGCCCATAAGCATCCACTAGCCTAGTATTTCCTAAGAGAGGCCCTGGAGAGGGTAGTGGCTGCACTGTGTTGTAGAAATCTGATTTGCCCTCGTAGTCCTCTTTCTTTTCCAATTCTAATTGGAAGTCTCGTTTTGGGGAGTCTCCACCTTTGCAGTAGTACCTTCGATGCGCCTCGAGGTTATCCGAACTCGCATAGGATATCCTGCAGGAGGGACAGGTGAAGCTGTCCTCAGCGCTGACATCTGTCTGCTCTGGTGTCTCAGTTCTGGTCTTCAAGAGAAGATCCTTTATTATAGAACCATCGCCATTTGGCTGACTGGGATTTCCTTCATCCTGTGCACAGCTCTCGCTGTATGAACGCTTCCTCGTTTGTGACTCTTCACTCATCGAATTGTCATTTCTCCATCCAAGCCAGTGTCGATTTCTCGAGAACAGTCTCAACAGCTCAGGGTCCTTTTTATACACTATCGCTTCATTATCCGTTATTATCTTATCGATGTGCTCTCGCAATTGATCAGAATTTGGTTTGACTGATGCTGATGTAGAGCCGTTGGAAGAGCTCGGTGGGGAAGGCGGTGTTATCTCTGGCTCGTTGTTCACGCATTGGAGAGCTGTGTGAAACTTTGGCTTGTAAATCTTTCCAGTCTTTATGGTTTTTGGATTTTGGACTGTCGGTGTCGATGGAGTTGAGGATGGAGGCGGTGGTGGTGTGCCTGTACCGTTACTTGCGCTGTCGGAGAGACTCACGTCTGAGTCTTCAGAAACTTTTCCCGTGTCTCCACCCTCCATTTTTAAGGCGTGCGCTCGTGATCTGCAGTGCTTGTAGAGATTTGATTTAGTCTTGAAGGCAAAGCCACAGGGTACACAAGGATACGGACGTTCATTGGTGTGCGCCCGGATGTGTTTTTGGAGGACACTTGGCTTTGCACAAGAGAGCTTGCAATATGGACATACGTAACCGGATTTTTTTGACTCTGCTGGCTCTGTTTCGTTGGCCTCTGCGGCAAAATCATCGCCTTTGGAAGACTCTTTCGTTGGCCTCGGTGGGTCACGATTTTTTGGTGGTTCTGAAGGGGCTGGTGGCGTCGGAAGCGGTGGAGTTTCCGCCTGGACTTCCAGGGGTGCCACCACCTCAGTCGTTGCCATTTTCTTGAATTTTTTGTGAAGGTACTTTGGCTCGCCATCGTTGTTGTTGTTTGTACTTGTGTTGTTGTTGTTGTTCGCCAGCTGTGGGTCTGTCATTGCCACGGGATGGAGATCTGGAGGAAGAGGAGAGGACAGTGTTAATGATTTTTATTTAATCTCATTTCCAGACTTGTTGAAAATTAATAACAAATGAATGGCGAATGAATTGAATGCGTACACTTGAGTCTTTCAGACACTGGGATATCGGGAGGTGGTGATGTATTGCGAAACCGGAAGTAACCGAGTTCAACAGTTCAAAACCATCGGCAATGCTTGCACTTATGTATCCTGTTTCCCCCTCGTGAAGGCAAACCAAGTGGAGGAATATCCAATCGGAATTAATTATCATTCGTAATTAAACTTGACTGGTAATACGGGGACTGTCATTGAATTTGATAACAGAAATGCTCTCTCATTCATTCGATACTTAATCAGTTTTTATCATATTTTTTTTTGTCGTTGCAAAAAAAGAGAGAATTATTCACTGATGAAAAATCATTCATTCCTCCGTGGAATTGACGCATTACATCATTCGAGAATTCGATCATTTCGTTTAATTATTTTTGCTTCTCCTCCAGAATTTTACGAGCAACTTAATATCTTTATGCGTTTTTTTTTTCCTAGGAATTCTGGCGATTGACGTAGAAGCGTTACAAATGAATACGTTAGGTATTTACGTAGGAAACGCGAATGAATAAGAGATAAGGTAGGAGAAAATTGTGGGTGAGATTGTAGTTAAAGGTAATTGCCACCATGTGACAACACGTAATTAATTAGATTTGACATTTTTATTTTATTTGGAGTAGATAACACTCGGTTTGCACAATTTTTGCACAAAGCTATTTTAGTCCATGAATACCTAGAATTTAATCGAATTTCCGATAGACCATGAATAATGAAGAATTAAATCACTCAGGGTTTCAATTCTCCCCCGAATTTTCTCGACTCATTAGTAATTCTTTCGGGGAATGATTAAATCGGGAAATCCAGATTTTATTATTTATTATTGATCATTTGAATAATAAAAACAGTGCAATATTTGATTTATAGGTGGCAGGATTTTCGAAAATTCAGGGGAAAGTTGAAAACGTAAAAAGGATTTTGGAATTCGACTCCCAGAGTTTATAATCTGATAAAAAATACTTAAAAATCTGGAAAAATTGAAAAATGAAGTGCTGGATATAAATTAATGATATCATAAAAACTGATATTTTCTAAAGTCCAATACTTTTTTCCATAAGTCATTTAATTTTTATTTTCACTTCAGACATGCATGACCTTTCGGCCTTCTACATACAACTCCCCCCCACCTCAGAACGGGACCTTGATACAAGTGTTATAAATGCGAATGCTTCAAGATATAAAACAGAAAAAAACACAGAATATACATTATAAATATACGACTTGTATAAACAAATCAGACTGTTTTCCTGCGATCAGAAGTCTTAAAAGCTTTAACTAGTGCCCTAGGTTAGGCACTTCCCACAGAATTGATCCGAACAGATAAATTTTACTCCTAATAATCTTTTTTTTATTGCCACATTTATTTTTCAAACTTTCCACAGGGGATTCTCCCCCAAATATAATTATATATCCAAACATATATCTAACAAGCGATAAACTCGTGGATTTTTTTGTTTAAATCAAAATCGAATAGCTTGACAATTTTTTTGCGTAATAAGTCTCGAGTTAACCGATGTTTCGAAAAAATTGACAACTGCAAAGAGTCTTTCGATCTCGACGACTGCCAATGACATGTCAACTTGACGAGGCGCCTCGGAAATACCGATAACCCACTGATAACGAGGGGAAAAAAAAAGAACGAACGAGTAGAAATGATAAAAAGCATAATACCCCTCAATCATCCAATCCCAATAATTAAACCCTTCATCAAAATTTCAACGAGATACTGGGATTATCTGAATGCACACACCGAAAACCCAAACAAATACCAATTAATTAAATAATAATGGTGGTTGCACTCGGTCATTGAATTTTTCCTGCATTTTTGACTCGATTACCCTCGGAATTACTCATTAAACCAGAAATTATTCCACAACGCGTTCTCAATTCAACTGTCAATGATGCACTCCACGATTCCCGGAAGTCTTCCATTGGAGTAAATAGAGGATAAAAAATGAATGAAAAATACTGAGAAGTACCATAAATGCGCGACGCAGAAGATTAGGAACTTCCCAGTAGCTGAGGATTTTATTTCAACGGAGAAATTCATTTTTTTTTTACGGTAGGTAACCGGGACTTTAAATGGACACGTCTACCGTCGACGAATCAGTAAACATCAATTGTTGTTCTTCAAATAGTAAAATAGTTCGGGAAAAGAGGAGAGAAATTCTTCAGGAAAATTCTTGTATGGGAAAAGGGCGTCAAGCGTCTAGCACTGAAAATTTTATTACCAAATGTCTCTCATTCTATTTTCACATAAATCCGGAGAAATTTTTGTTTAACACCGCCAGATGTTTCATTACCCGTAGATTCTGATTTTTTAGTACTTGCACTAGAATTTCCACAAAGAATTTCTTTCCGTGGACTGATAATTATGTTCATAAAGTTCGAAGCATTAAATTTTTTTTTCATTGATAATAGTCGCACCTGAATTTTCAGTATCGCGAATTTTTCTTTCAATTATTAAGATTAAATCATTCATGAGTGTTATCCATAACTTCAAGTCATTGTGAAAATCGAAGATACAATTTTATTCAGAGACTCACGAAGATATTCGAGAAAATTATAATTTATGAATCATGGATTGATGAATAAATTTGATTGGGGTGGGGAGGAGAGGATTAATTTTCCTCGTCAATACACAGGAAATGAAAAAGATAGGATTTTGAAAAAATGATCGCTGAATAAAAATGGGAATTTTCGAGGGAAAATACTCACTTATAATATACTGAGGGAAAACTTATGAAATACGGCGCAACAAATATGTGTCGATTCTTGGTCTCTTTGTACTGCTGGCGGTTCGATGATTTATCGAGACGTAAAAATTCCCCCGTTGTACTATTACATTTCCGTGAAACAGCGTGACAAAAACAGAAGTCTACCGAGGCCAACTTGCACTTCTAACTGGTGACTGGTGTGAGCATGCGGTCTTGCAGAATTGCCTGTTGTACTCTCCTTCGAGGAAAGAGGGAAATCCATTTATTTGAGAAGTTAAACTTCCTCGACGATTATAAAACAGCGCGAATGCCTTGGGAGTTCACTTCACCCGAAATTCAGTTTCCACATTGTGTTTTGAAGAGTCCATTGTTTGATTTGTTTTCATTACAATCGATCGATGACTCAATCTTTATCTGAGTATTCCGCGAAAATTATGGAAAATCGCAAAATTTTGTTTTTATAAAATTTGATATGGGAATGGGTCAACAATCTATTCGGACTATTCGGGTGTTCCCTTCAACTCCCAATTCGAAAGAATTTCTGTCTTACAAGTTGTTAATGAATTCTGTCGAAATACGTGGTGACCTCATTGTATTTCGTTGGAATCAATTCCGCATGAAATTCTGAAGATCGACTCATTTCAAAATTCATTGTAGCGGTTCAACAACCCGATGAAATCAGATTATTCGATTTCCTTTCGAGCTGCCCCACCATTTTGCAAATGTCAAAAGAGATACTGAATTTTTCATAACATCTTTCTCATAACTTCGAATTAACTCCAAATTAATTTATACAAAAATCCCATTACAATTAAATTCCGATATAATTCCCACATATAATTTCATTTTCAAATTTGTTCTCCCATAAAAACAGGTAAATCAACGAGAATAAATTCGACAATTTCTTCAAAATCCACAGAGTGTATATGAATCGTTCCAAAAAATTAACAAGCTTACTATTCGAAAACTAATTGAGATATCGTCTTGAGTGAGTAAAAATACCAGATAATTCTTGGAACGTCCGATAAAAATTCTAAAAAAAACCTCGAGCACTTTCGAAATTCAACAGTCATCGAGTGGTGAGTGTCCCCGCCTGGTGGGAGAATCCCGCAGTCAGAGCGACAACTCGACTAGCTGGAAAGTGAGTCACGCACGAGGACTTAGTTGGTCGCACACGTCTGCGCCTGGGATTCCCCTTCCCCACCGGCTTTTCCTCCTCTTCCTCCTCTTCGTCCTCTTCCTCCTCTTCCTACTCTTCCTCCTCTTCCTCCTCTTCCTCCTCTTCCTCCTCTTCCTCCTCTTCCACTCCCAGCGCTGTCCACGCTATCTTTCCGCTGACGCCTCCGACAACTCGAATTTACTCCCACCAAAATTACAGATCCAACACACCTAAACGAAGATGACTCGACGGAGATGATTCCCCATCTCCCTTCCACGTTCCAAATGTACTTGATGTAACCCCCACTCGACAACTAAATTCCACCACCACTTGCTCAACACGGAATCCAACGGCTGTCCGCAAACTGACTGGTGAACGGGTGATTGGGTCACGCACCCCGGCTTTTACTGTGGAAAATCGTGCCCTAGGACGTTCACGGACGCCGGGGATTCCCATTGTTTTTTTACTCCGTTCCAGGCTCACCGGTTCGCAGCTCCCTCTCACCCTTCCAATCAGGAATTCCAAATTAACTTCTTAAATCTCAGTTGACTGCACCATGAAAGTCTGTCAAGTCATCATTTGACTCGCATCTGTCACTAAAATCCTGCGAAATATTTTACAATCGCACCTGTCAATCCGAAGAGAATTTCACTATTAAAAATTCCCCGGAATTTCCCGCAGTTCGCCTGCTTAAAGGTAGTTGAAAGATAATTTATCATTTTATTTTCACCACCTGGGGAAACACGCTAGTATGTGACGGTCACACAGTAAAACTGTCACGTTTACATCACGTGACATGAAATAGTCTCGTTAGAGTTTTAGTGAATGATTACAGAAAATTCGAGTGAGAGTTGGAAAAAGGTCAAAGAATTTTTGTTTCATTGAAAGTCAACTGATTGCACTTTTCCATTTTTTCAAAACCCGCCATTGAAATTCCGACGGCATTGTTCGATGAGTAGTAACCGAGTCATTACGATTATTTCCAAATCACTCCACGTGACAGCGGTGAATGGATTTTCTCGGAACAGGAGGAAAATTATTGGGAATGGATGGTCTGAACTGCGGACCTTTCGATTACGCATCGCGCGGTTTTTTATCTCCTGATTGATGAGTTGGATGTCCTGGTGATAGTGTGTTTTCATTCGTCATTGCGATGTTCAATTCCGTAATCATGATGTTATTGCATCAGATTGTGAACGAATTCAGTAGCGAATCGGCGAAACGCGTTAAATCATCTTCACCGATTTATCTGCAAAACTACCGATTTAAGATAAAAACATTAAAGAACGTTTTGCAGACTTGTAAATTTCCAACGAAATCCCTCAGGTGATTTTTCCCTGAAATAAATTCTCTTTCATTTCAATCGATATTTAACGAAATAGCGAAGTGTCAAAAGGTGTTACCGACGAATTATTCATGCCCTAGAATTTTTGCAATGAAAATTTGAATTCTGTTTCAATGACAGTGAATTCCACGAACATTATCGAATCCTATAGTTACCGAGAATATTGATGAGTTCTTCGTGGAATTTCAGCGGAAAATCTTACAACACCGCGAAAACAATATCCACTAGGAATAAAATCTGCGATTAATTTTCAACATAAAAAAAAATAAAAGTACACAAAATCCTCAGTAAGATAATCTGTCGAGAAGTAATTAGGTGAACGAATTTATTTCGATCATTATCACCGATAAAATTTTTCCAATCGTAACGACCGAGAATTCCCCCATCAATAATCGCTAATTGGTCACTCAATATCTAGGAATTCCCGGGTGTTTCACTCGCGGGATAAGATTTCGTTATCAATTCCACCGAGAAAACAATTGAATGTATTTACCCACCTAGCGATACGATCCCTTATCATCGATAAAATCCAACGAGCGGTGTTATTGCGGTATCCCCAGTGGGCCTGAATAGCTTCGCCCTAATTTGAATGTCAAAAAAAAAAATGTAGTCGTGACCCAGAAAAATACCCCAACGATTTTTTTTTCTCCTGGCGGTACTGAATAGAGGGGTTAATCCATTGGGAATCGGGGAATGATGGGTTAGTTGAGAGCAACAACAGTTAGAAGAGGTATCTATTGTAGCTTTCCGGATAATGTGAAAAGCCCTTATTCGGTATTATCATGACAATGATCGGCTTAACTGCTCCGAAACTTCAACCCTCACTCCGGTTTTCAGACTCAATCGATGGAAGGGGTTTTTCGTCTCGAGATCGGTATCACCGGATTTCACCCGAAATCGTTACAATTTTTTGTAATAAAATTTTAATTTCATTGCAAATTCGCGGAATTTCCCCCAGGAAATTTCAATTAAAGACCACCGGTACCTCCCTGTCAAAATTTAATAATTAAAAAAAAACCGGCATCGATATGAAAATGGCGAGTCTTCTTTAAATTCCCGTTTTTTTTATTGGATTTCCCCCTGCTTCGAAATATTGAACTTCTGGAGGAATATCTCGTACTCGAAGAGATGTCGGAAAATTTCCCCCAGAAAATCTCAATTAATGGCACCTTCCCCTAAAAAAAAAAGAAAAAAAGCCGATGGTCTCGTTAAGAGTCGACACAGTGCGAGGCCCTCGGGGTCTCCTATAGGTTCACCTGTCGTCATGGCAACGCCGCAGTTTGCCGTTCACTTGTTACTCCATCTCCCGCAAAATACCCGATGCCCTCCTGAGTCAAATATCCCCGTTTTCCCCTCGTAACGCCGAGGGTTTCCCCAAGTGTCTCACAGTAAAACACCAACTCCCAGAGCTGAGCAATGCCCCTCAAATAAAACCGCCAAATGCAGACTAGACCGCACCGGACTAGACGTCTTCCTGTTTACTCACCATAAACTCAACTCCACAGCAAAAAAAAAAGTTCCAACACTGAGAAACCAGTTCCTAATTTTAACCAATTAATCCCCAATTTTTTGGGGTTAAAAATTGAGGATTTCGTCACTAAAAACTGTTCCAAAATCACAATTTCCCTCATTGAATGAAAAATGGATGTTTCTTATAAATCCAGTAGATTCATTGTTGATTTAATCATTAATAAGGTCTGACACTCTTTTTAAAAGACAAAAAAATGATTAAAAACAGTGAATCAGCCATTTCTAAGAAAGTACCTAAATCCCCTGGAATTTAAAGCTCATTTTCAATTTCTTCAATTTTAAAAGGCTGGATGGGTCAAATTAAAGAGTAACCGTCAGAAGTTGTAACATTTTTGCTCTCTGTGCTCATCGAGATTGTTCCATTTTACTCCAGCATATTCTGGACGAAAATAGAGAAAAATTCAGCAAAACCAATCACACGAGATGCCTCTCTCCACCTCGTTATCCACTTATCCATCATGTCAATCTGTTTGCTATGCAAATCTCGTCCAACCGTTGTATTGCTGACGTAGGTCCTCTCGTCATCACCAATACAACGTCAAAATGATCGAAAAATAACACAATCTCGAAAGAGACGAAAAACGAGAAAGAAAACAGTTGTTTACGTAGAGAGATTCTTCAGGATTCAAGCGCGGACTGAAAAATTTATCGTGAATTTCCCCCAGTCCACAAAAAGTTCTATTTCCTATCAAGTTAACTTCAGATTCATTCAATTTTCGAACATCACGATTAATCCCAGCCTCAATCTCAATTAACAATAAAAAGAAATGATTTAACTACAATAATAGTTGACAAAAAGTGTGAAAGCAATGCCTCGCTGATAAAATGAATAGGAGGAGGATTTTTGAGAGGAATGCAAAGTGCTAAAAGTAACAATAACTAGTGGAAACCAAGAAAAAGAATTGAAAAAACAAAAACAAAGTGTCTTAGGAGACATGAGACGTGCAGTGAAGTCGGGATTTAGCAAATAGTTCTCGACAGAGGTGACGTCACTGGCGCCTAATCGGTGCGTACATATCCTCAAGCAATACCCACCTAATTACCGGAAAGTCTTCAACTGGTCTGGTCGGGATGGACTCCTTCAGGACTCGTCAAATCCCACCACAAGCAATATCCCGAGGACGAGTCATTAACAGTACCGAAGACACCCGGAGATTCCCGCTATCTTCCTCAGTATCATTTTTCAATTCTTCAATATTTAAACCGTGTCCTTTCACCGTTAGCTTTTATTTCAAACTCACCAGTCACCTTTCACTCAAATATTTCCCACTCGTACCTCACCCTCAATTCACCGACTGATTCACGTGAAAAATCACAAAATTTCATTCAGACACGTGACGTCACACGCGGACGAATCGCGCCACTCAAAATCGCTTGTTTACACTCGCGCGTCATTTCAGTGTCGCTCCAAAACCCCGAGCACTTCCCCCTTTTTTTTCTCTCTCTCTCTCAATATTTCCTCCGATATCCTCTACAGCGAGAAATTCCGCAGCCTTGAGCGACCCAACACGTTTTCCCGGATTTCCTCCGACGAATTGAAAAAAAAAATTAATCAGAAAAATCCAGGGGGAGAAAAACAATATCCCCAGGAAGCACTGCTACACAAAATCAAACTCAAACAAAATCAATCGCACTCACTATTTCAATTCATAAACTCCTGGTTAATTTCAGCTAGAAACCGCGGAACTGCCAGCGAGTCACAAACTTTTTCAGAAGTAAACACACACTATTATCCGTGAAAGAAACGGAAAAAATAATAATAATAACAAAAATAAATAACTGAATAGCCTCGATGACACAGCTGTGATAAATACGTTTGAACGGAGCCTTCAATTGCGTAATTAATTCCTTTGATCCATGAATTGAAATGACTTTAAATACAAAAATACGGTGTAAGAGCGAAACGATGTTTCTGGTGCTGCTGCTGGCAGCCAGACTGTATGCACGGGGTGTACGTGGGTCGTGGGTGAGCGCCTCACTACTTCGCCTTCGTACACGCTTCAACATCCCCCCTCTATCCACACCAAGTACCCCCTATCCCCTCCTTGTCCACAGCCCTACCCTGGCCCCCTGTTCACGCTGTGCCGTCAGCCCCCCCTCCCCCCTTCCGCCCTATCCCTCAAGCGCTCTTTGCCCCACTGTTCTGTGTTCAGGTCTGGTCCGCTCTGTGTGTGCGCAAACCCAGAGAGTTTCCGTCTTCCCTCGTTCCCCATTTGTGTTAGTTAACACTGAGTCAAAATTATTTGAGTATTGGTCACACACGTACGCACCTCGTGCATCTTTCTCTGGAGGTATTTCACTTTGTGCCAATGAGTGGGGTGAAACCAAGCGTTTTTCATGGGCGATAACTGGGGAACTGGTGAGTGACGTTGTAGGATTTTTTTTTTCATCTTTTCGGCGAGTATTTTAACTTTTAAATGAGCCCTGATTCGGTCAAATCGCATCACACGGTGATGGGTTATCACCGGTCGAGGACCGAGGGTTTTATGGAACCTGGAAGTCAGTGGGTTCGGTACAAATGCTAACGGTTTGTTAGTCGAGAACACCGCGAAGTTCCAAGGTGTTATGGAGCTTGAAAGGAAGCCCTGATTTATCAAAAAATAACTTCCAAAATTTTCGACTTCGAGTCACAAAATGACTCCAATAATTTTTGGAAATCTATCGAAGAATTCTGAATTAAAATAAAATATTCTGAAAACTCCATCAGATCTACGTCAACCTTTGACGTGAACTCTAGAAATGTAACCCATTCCATACTGCTCATTGAAAACAGAGTTCCACCCCCTGGAGCCAACCCAAAACAATCTCTCTGGAACTTTGAATGACTCAAGAACGACAGAGTGAAGTTCCTCTCAAAATTACCCAATACACAGATACATTCGATCCCCCCTACTATAGCGAATCCCAAAAATACGAGCCAATGACAGTGAGAACCTCAGGGGAGTGCGGTGAGGGGAACTTGAGGATGATGTGACCGTATAGCTGACGACTAATATTGCGCGCGAGCGATGCGCCGTCTGGCGTGACTGGCGACAGTCTGCCGCGTTCCAAGAACCACGAGGCGATTCCGTGTATCGAGCGAGAGAGAGACACACACACATACATACACACGCATTTGTAGAGACTTTAAGAGAGGCTCGACCGTGGGCTAGAGAGCGATACGACGGTAACACCGGCCTGATGAATCCCCCGGGGGGAATAGGGGGTATGAGACATGCGAAGGGGCGGCGGGGGGGTGGCATGAGACAGGAGGGGGGAGGTGATAAGCGAATGAGAACGTAAGAGACGGAGAATCGAGGTTGTGAGCGGTTTTGAGAGGGCAAGCAGGGGGAGCGGTTGTATTTCAGGCCTCTTTTGTCTGTATTGGAGGGGCAAGGGGGGGACTCCAGGGGGCAGGGGGGTCTGGGAGACCCGTGAAAGACAAGGACGGCCGGGGATTACGGACTGAGCAAGGTGGAAAAGAATGACGGAGGTAGAGACGCCATGTAACCTGTACTGGCACGTTTTTCTCTCGTTTTTTTTTTTATGCTCAGACACTTTATACCCCCCACCATGTTTTTTTCGGTGATTCGGAATGGGATGGCTGTGCTACTGGGGTAATGCTGTTTATCTGGGGATTTTTAGGGGGGTGTTGGGAGAATCCCGGAAGTGTGTTGGTCGCGGGAGAAGAAGGGGGTGGGGCGATGATTTTCAGTGGAATTTCGGGTAATTGGGGGAACAACTCTGGGTGTTGCTGGAATGAAACTTTTCGGGGTTTTGGAAATATTTGGTGGGAATTTTGAGGATTTTTTTTTGGAAAAGTTAAGGTTGAAATGATTTGTGCGGATTTTTTTTTGGGACTATATGGTGGTTAGGGATTGGGAGGGAAAGGAATGGAAGTGAAATTTTTGCTGGACAGCAATTGAGTAGTCATAACCATTCACTGGGATAATTATCGAGGGAATGAAGGGGAAATTTTACTGTTTGCGTAGAAATTACCCTTGGGCTCCATACATTTCTGCGGGTCAGCGGAAAAAATTCCATCACAATTCTCATCCTAATTGGTGCAGTTAATTTGTCTTGCATTTAATGAAGCAATAAGTTTTGAGGAATCAATATGTGCATTGCATTGGAAAAGAAAAATCTGGGACTTCTCAAAAATGCGCAATTTTTTTTTGCCAAATACAGGAAATCCTTGATTTTTATTGGGATTCGCAGAAATTAGTCAAATTAATAGTCATTGGTTCAGTAATTTTTTTAAAGTTATTTTCTCCTTGTGGATGCAGTGGATCAATTCAGTGGATTTTCCCGTTCTCGTTAATTACGGGAAATGCATTTATCCCATCTCAATAATCATCGGCCAACTGCTTCCTCTTCATCTAAAAATAAAGAAGAGTAATGTCTCTTTCCTTATCATTCGGCGAAAACGGATTGATTACCAATGATTATTAATTGATTAAGAATTATTCATTACTGTACACTAAGTGTACAAAGGAGAACATGAAAAATACATCATGTAGAAAATAAAAGAAAGTTAATTAAACAGGTACATCAACAGTGCGATGGTATAATAAACAAAGTTAAGAGAAAAAAAATAAAATAAAAATAAAAATGCAATGCAAAATAACACAAAGCTCAAGCAACAAATTAAAGTAAGCAAGTACTTGTGTGAGAGACGCCCCATGAATTACATTCCCTGAAACCCCGCATTTCGTATTTTCTCACACAAGTACAAAAGCCCAATGAATGCCATTGCGTCGGTGGATTTTCCATTCACTTTTACCTCAAACCCCAACCAAGATTCAATTATCCACCAATGAGGCCTCAGTTTGAAAATCGTGTTGACTCTAATAACAATTTACACATGTAAATTCAAACTCCCGGTAACTTTCTACTGCTGCAAAGACAGATTCAAATGGGAGTGGAGATCAGTAGGCGACTAATATCGGAGGCGTTGAATTTCTACACTAAAAAATTACACCAATAAAACAAATGCGACATCATTCAATCAGGATTTAAATCCATTTAAATCCGTCCTTCAATGCGTCACTAACCAAATGAAAGAATGAAAAATTCAATTTAATGGCTGTGCATATCCGAGGTAAATCCTCATCCCTGGCCTGTTGCCAACTTCACTCGCAAATAAACTCTCGTCTCCTCTTCGTCGCTCTCTCTCATCCCATCAGGGCTGTCATCGTTAAAATGGAAAGAGAATTAAACTCAAGTTGCGCCAAGTATGCGTTGCGCCAAGTACGCGCACGCACACTATTCCGTACGCAAAGTGAACAACTGCATTGGAAGAAATATTTCATAATTTCATCATGAAAACGAATCCAATTAATTTATTCATTCCTTTTTTCAAGTCCTACTTCGTTCTGTTGTTCCGATAACTGCCAAATCTTTAACAAATTTTCCGGATTTTTCGCTGATTAATCAATTGGGATTACGACGCCATGAAATGCAGTGATTCCTTCCGTAAATATTGAAATAGAGAAAAAAATGGTTTTTATCAATTACTTACTCCCGTGATTGTGCCACGCGTGCACACGTTGGAGGATCTCCAATGAGTCGCACATAAAAAAAAAATAAAAAAAAAATAAAATGCGTATGGGGCAGGGGTGGGGTTATTCTTGGAATGTCCTGGAGTCTCGGGCGAACGACAGTTTGCCGGTGGCTCCTCCGGAACTCCTGGACTGGTTTAACCTCTCACTGTCTCACTCGTCCTGACCAGGTTGTTGGGTTCCCCGTGCCGATCTCAAACGATCAACGGTCGAGGCCTCCTCTCCACGCCATTTTGCCGTTTTATTTTTTTTTCACCACTTCCCTCCACGCCTCGGTGCCTCCTCGATTGCTTTTGCTATTTCTCTAGATGCTTTCCTTTCCTCTTATCAGGCTTCATCTCCATTTCCTCTATTGCGGTTTATCGAGGGATTTTTATGGGACTTCCATTTTTCCCGGACGCCCATGGGAAATCCCAACCGGCAAATATATATATATGCTAATAATTATATGTGACCTGTTGAATATGTCGCCGGAATGCATGTGCGTATAATTAATATATATATAGTAAATATATTATATCTACAAATGTAACGAAAACTTTTTACGTTTTTTTTAAATATGACAAATTTTTGGCTATTTTTTTTTCATCATTTCATTTTGCAATGTTGAAATACCGTAGCCCGAGTGAAGTTCCTCGGGTCTCATATATTTCCGTAAAATTACGCAAGTCGGGAGTTTCAAGAACGCATATGCCCCCAGCTATGTCTCATCTCCGGGCTTCACCTGTTGCATTCAAACTTCGAAATTCATTGGAACCAGAGGGTGGAGCTCCCGTGAAAAACCTGGGGTTAACCTTGACTCTCTGCCACGAAATATCGACGAATTTCCACGATTTTTCCCATGAAAATCACCGGGTCAAGCACCAGGTAACTCACTCTACCTGATCCCTCCAATTTTCTCTGCCATTTACTTTTTATTTTCCTTCGTTTCCCAGAGAGAAAATAAAAATACGAAATAATTGCTGTGGGAGCGCTCAAGCTCATCCGCTCATTTTTATTCTCTCTCGTTCTTTGACTTTTGACATCTGCAATGACGCGTTTTTTTTTTCTTTTAATCAATATTGCGAAATGAGTTTTGGCCGGTTGCGTGTTGTGGAGTGATACCAATTTTGCTCTTGGTTTGTGATCAATTTCGGGGTTTAATTATCACCGGGACTGATGCAAAAATGAGTTTCGCTCGGTTCAACCCCCTGGAGATTTATTTAGGTCTTCATCGATTATTTATTAATTCGTTCGGCACTCTTGTTGGAAGTTCTGACTATATCGAAATTCAATACGAACATTAAAAATATATTGTATCAGATTTTTTCTCATTCTCTCAACTAAATTCACATACGTCTTTCTGTCAATCATCACTCTTGACAATTTATCATTATTAAACATATCTAAAGTTCACAATTAGGATATCTGATAATTAATTGATTCCTGGAATTATTGCAGGTGAGGGAATGACGGGTTTAGCTCAAAATTAGGAATGAGCAGCGAGAAAAAATTAATTTCTGGAAATTTTCGAATAGCGATGGCAGAAAAAAAATAGCCGATTCTTACGGATCGTCCAGTCATCAATGAATGTCGGGTGACGTAAGGCCCCCCGATGTTTGCGTGATTTGCGGTGTTGTGTGTTATGCTTCGTGTGCCTGTCTATTTTTATGACAAAAAACCGCGGATAAAAAAGTGATAATGCGCGGATAAATGTCTACACAAGTAGTTATTCGTGTGGTTTTTAGCTGCTGAATGAAGGCTTCGTTAATTCAAGTAACATGTGAAAAATATTATTTATCATGTGAATGAAAAAATTCGAAAGTTTTGAATTTTTAAT